GGTAAATTTTTTAAATAAATTAAAATAAGAGTGAGCTCCAGAAAGAGTTTGTCCGCATGTAGAAGCTCTAACTGAAGTCTATCCCTACATTTTTCTACACCAAGGAGCATATTTTGTAGTAGCCAGTAAGCGACATTATCGTCAATTTCAAATTTACAATTTTCAAATTATCACTCAAGATTGGAAAAACTTAACTATCTCCTTATACAGCTAACATCACAATAAGTTCATGAAACTTCATATCTTCCTTCCGTATTGAGATTAACGTATATAAACTTGTAAAAAAAAAGAAATAAAGCTTGCGGAACTAATCCTCTGCTTCTGGCAGCTTACTCAAAATTAGTTAACAGAAGAAATCTGCATTTAGAACTTGCTAAAAGTTGTGCTCATTACCAAACCAAAATTCGTATTTGAAGAGCTGCAGCAACTCATTTGTTTCTTTAAGGTTTAAAATGAACAGTGATTGAAACTTAGAGACCTATCTTCTCCATAAAATAAGCTGCTTTTAAAAAATGAAAGCACAGTCTGACCTGGAAACTGAAATATACTTGAGGGCCGTTCCACTCTTAAATGGCTCGACAATAAAATACAGCAACCAAGGAACTGGTAAACTGCAACAATTTAACCAATTACTGTCTTAATAAATTAAAACAATACGACTATAAAATTTTTGTCCGCTTCTTACGTGTAAATTTCCATGACAGTGCAAAACTTCCTGAAACCCTTACCCGACACAGACATCAAATATATTGCTACCAACAGAGCTGGATACGGCCATGTCGCCAAGACCTTTTCGGGCTACGATCACGCTGAAATTAGCGCAACAAATAGACATCCTGAGGTATTTGTGCTACATTGAAAATCTTCCTTATTTAAGTGATAAAACTTAAAGACTGGAAGATCAAAAGTACCGCAGCGAGAAATTCGCAAAAAGAGCGAATAATTGAGATTTTTTTTGAGAATGCTCCAAGTTACTAACCACAAAAGTTTTTAGATTAAATAGAAAGTAATATTCCAACCTAGTGATCAAGTCCGGTATACTTGTACCAGCAGCGAGTAATGTAAGCCCGATAACCTGAAAATAAGCGTCTTTGGAAGAATGTGAAAGAAGACAGCAGACACTTCCATTTTGTTTGGTCACTTCGTATTTACAACTACAAACAAAATTGCTTTTTAGTAAAAAATCTCTTTAATGTTTTTGAAATTTTAACCTCAGTAGGTATAGCACAAGTTTCTCCAAATGTATTAGCCATCCAAACCATAAGATATGAGTAAAAAGCGATCCAACAAATTGAGCCAACAAAGGTCACTGGATACCACCTCCTTTTGGCCTGGAAAAGAAAGCAAGGATTTTTTTGCCACGTTCACAATTTCTTTATTGAATTCACAATTTTAACTAGAAACCAACTTGGTCCCTGACGTCAGGAAGAGTGGTGGAGAGTGGAAAAGTTATTGGTGATAACGCCAAATAAATCAATTTTTCTCGGCAACCTTTTGGCCAGGTCAAATCTAATGGTTTATCTTCTTCTTCCTCGAGTATCGACTTCTGTAAATTGATGAGAAAAAAGCTCATAAATTTTTTAAGCTTCAAAGAATTTAGACTGTTTAGGTGAACTACTATAAAAAAACTACAATTTCTTCTATGCTGGAGTTGTTAGGACATGTTGAGAATCGTTTTATAGATGACAGCCTTCTTGTATTTACTGCATCCATCTTCTCTACATTGCAGTTGTCCTAAATTTAATATAAAAATAATACGACTTCAGGAAAGAAATAATTAAATAAGCATTTGTCGCACTTTCTATAAGTCGAAGAAATGGGGATGCAGAACATTATCTTCAAATTTTTCTCATAGGCAAAAAGTAATTCGAAATTGCTGGCAGCAAAACAAAACCTGAATTGATTGCCTCCAATTCTCAGAGGTCCGCCGTGAGTCACGCCGGAAGACTTCTGCATCCTCTCCGGTCAATTCCATACCTTTATTGAAAAATTTTATTGGCAAATAAGCGGCGTAAAACATGGTGTTCAAAAACAGATTGAAAACAGCAACAAAAACGGTCTACTTTAAATAAACGTTTTTGATTTCATTGTCAGACACTGTTTTGAGAAATGCAATAACTTCTCAGAAACCTTCCAACTCGCCTTCACGAAGTGGGTCAAGACCATGGGACATCAGCTGCATAATACCATTACGAAACATTGTTCCAGAATGCAGTATTGGAATAGACTGCCGTCTAAGTGATCCTTGACGCTTGCGACCATAAAAAAGAGAAGTAGACCTGGCCAGTGGATCAGTCTTTTCTCGATAAATTTGGTTGTCTGCCGGGATCATAACACTTGCGGACCGTTTCTCTGGCGCTTTTCTTTCAACAGATAGCTTCCGAACGACTGATGAAGGTTGCCGTTTTGGCGAAGAAAGTTCAGGCTTAAAACCGGAAAGTACTTATACAAGTTTTAATCACAAAGTTCTTTTAAAAGTTTTTTGCGGTCGGATACGAAAGAATTAGCAACTTAAACCAGTTTTAAAGTCTTATACTAAGCGTAACACCTAATTATGTAGCAAATAAAAGCGACTACTATCTTTCCCGTATCTCATTTTGAATTTTAGTCAGTTCTTGTAGACATTTTTTGATTAATCTTACATGAGTAAAGGCTTAGAAAATAATCGGTAAATTAACAATTTGAAGAGGAGGAGACTTTTTCGTGCGACTTTTTTCTAACCCTATTTTGTTTTTTCTTTAGAGAACATAAAGATCGATCACCTCAGCTTTGTATTGGTGAGTAATCTTTAATTATGTGACGAACAAACTGTTGTCTTTGTAACATCAACGATGTTTGTGCTTTTTTATGAGAGCAGGAGATTGTGTGAAAAATTAGCATATTTAATTCTAATCTTAGGGTGAAGAAATAACACCCAAACAATAGTTTTTAAAATAGCAAATTGTTAATCGAAAAAGAAAATTAAAAAGAACCTTTTGAATAACTGAAGATTTCTGCGACTGACTACTACTGGTAGGATTTTTTTCCTTCAAAATCGAGGTTTTCACGTATAGTTCTACTGTTTCGTTGTATTTCATAAAAATTGCATACACTATGTAAATAATAAACAACGTTAAGGCTTCATACCACTTAATCTAAAGTATAACTTTTTATTAAATTTTATTCTTTTATGGTCCAAAGAACAAAAACAAATCTAAGTAAATGGAAACCATTTTGGTACTTATCAAAACAATGGTGCTCTAACCTGCTCATCAAGAAAAAATAATACGAGAAGAAGCAATGCAAACACGTAAAACGCGACATCCCTGAAATCAAAAAAAAATTTTTTTTCGATAACATGATCGCTTGGAATTTTCAGGAATCTTTCAAATTTTAACCTGAACAGGGGCCACCAGGTCAAATGAAGAACTCCTTTGGAAAAAATTGCACAGAATGAAAGCACACATAATATGTTAAATGTAGCACTTCCTGAATTACTATCGTTTAGCACGTTTATTTGTAAGCAAAGTATCAAAGACAAAAATATTAATCAAAATCAAAAACTTGCTAAATGCTGACCAACAATCGTTCCAATTCCGACGTTATTCTGGGCGATGAAAACACCAATTACAGAAGTGAAAAATTCTGGAGCTGAACCACCAGCAGCCATGAATGTTGCACCTAAATGGCCACCAGGCACTAACAGGCTACGGAGAAGCCGTGAGTAATTTAATAAGTTTCATAAGGTTATTAAATGAAGCATTCCAGGCTTTTTTTTCTTAACTACTGAATAACCACTGCATAAATTATTTTAAAAATTTTTTTCACAGAATTCCTATTTCAATTGTAAAATAGTAAATTAGGACTTTAAAACAGCTAAAGCCGGTATAAAATTAAAAAATTCTTTTTTCAAGATTTAAACTGTTAATCGCAAGACATTTTCATGAGATGCTCAGTGACAACCCCGGTGACTACTTTTAAAAAAGTAACCTGCAACGTCGTCGCTGATTGCTAAGTTGTCGGTGATAACGCCGAGCGATGGCACAAAAAATTCGTCGCAAACAATTGCTAATGCGATAAACATATAGATTAAACCACCGAGGTGAAGAACAACTGTAAAAATTCAACTTTTGTTTATGTTTCCAAATTGTTTTTTAAGGTGATGCAACTGTAAGTAACGAAATGTACTAAAAACTAATGCTAATATAATTAATATAACAAAAAACTTTATTTTTTTCTTAATTATTTGAAAAAAATAAGTGTCAATGTATAAACGCTGTAAACTGATCGTACATTTTTAAAGAGAATGTAGCAAAATGTTAAAAATGGTTTGGAATCAAGAAATTTTGTGTCTCAACCTATAAATTCATCGACTATCTCCAGAGTGCTCACGGCCCCTTGCAATTTCATTGTAATCGATGTTGAAACAGACAAAATTACTACACGTCTAAATACCTACCAAGTCCTTTCCTTCGTTGTTCCAAAGTGAACAGATCATCTGGGAACTGACTTGCTCCATCGCTGCTACTAACTTCGGTAACCGTTCGGTTCCTGCGCGGTAATTAAACATTTCATAAAGTAATAATTTAACAGAATTTATGAAGAAAAATAGGGAAACAGAATCTTTTCAATAGTATGCATACAGTATATATCTAATATATAATAGGCCATTACACGTCAAAGCGCACACTTTTTTACTTTCATATCTCAGATTTTCTTTAAATTTTGCTAATTAGTAGGAGTCCAGACGAGCATAAAGAAAGCTGCAAAAAAAACCTGGAAAAGTGCATTCCCCGCCAAGTTACACCCCTTCAAAGTGGCGAAATTTGCCAGGTTGCAACTTAACATGCCTATCTTTACAAGCTCATTTTGAATAGAATTTCATGCTTTTTTGTTTATTGAATTTGTCATGTCCTGAATTTTTAAATGCTAAATGCATATTCTTTTGATTCTGTTAAAAATCACATAAATACAATAAAAACAAAATTTTAAATTTAAAAAAAAAAACACATTTTGTGCAGAATTTTTTGCTCTACAACATATCAAAATTTCGAGACGGCGATTTTTTGGTATCAAGAGCTACGAGCCAGAATAGGAAATCAGACAGTATATATTCGGCTGCCGTTACCGTAATCCTGTATGTTTTACTATGGCGACACTATTGTCAACTACTTCTAAAAGCTCAAAAAAGATGTTATTAACATTTGGTATGTTTTTATTTTCACAAAATTCTTTTTAAAGTTATCTTTCAAATGAAAATATTTCCAAATTGTTATTTTGCAAACCCGTAGTTCACATTTTGTTGAGCCCACTTGTCGAAGTCTCAGGTGTTAGTATTTGGTCATTTTGAGGCCTTTGAAGGCTGGCTCGGGCAGCCAATTTTTGTGTCCTTGTGTTCCATTCATTCATAGCCTCTCAGTACTGTGTCCTTGCTGGTGCTTCTGGAACTCACTGGGTCTGCGTATGCTCCGTTCATCAAAACTTCAGACTGGGGGCAGTACACTTGGTTGAGGCAGTACACTTGAACCGGTTGACTAGGGATCTAACCGTTCCCATTCAAAATTACAAAGACGTCCTCAACTTTTTAACGTGCCAGCCGGCTGGGGAAAACTGTCATCTGGGGTTGTGTATTTTCTGTCCTAAAATAGCGGAAGTTGCTGAATTGCTAAAGATTATTTTCGAGCAACACGCTATTGATCGTGTCGAGTACAAGCAGTGGATGACGACTGACTGCTGTAATCTAAAAACTGTTACAGCTTCAGCGGAGAAATTTATTGCCGAATTTGTCGATGCTCTTCTGCGACACTCATTCATAGCCTCTCAGCAAAGT